ATGGTATTATTTTTCATTCTGAAAATGTTTTGGGGGAAAAAAATTAAAAGAGAGAAAGAAGATATATTATCTAACATTATCCTTCTGGATTTCTCTTTCACCAAGTACACAGCAGTTGTCAGTTTGAATTCCAAGTATGCCAATAAGCAAAGCTTAGGAATTAAAACTGAAACTGCAATGTCATGATCTGCAGAAAATAGAAACAGGCTTCCTACGCATGATACCAACACATCTTATTCCTAAAGAGCATACAGAGGGATGTGGGTGTATTAAAAATGCTTTAGGATACAAAGAGTACAGTGCTGGGGTGCCAACTTGAATAAAATATGGGGGGGCAGGTAAGCCCCCCCCCAATAATTGATCACATTACATGGCTCATGCACACCATTGGAATGGCAATGCCCATCAACTTGGGGGGGGGATACAGGAGAGTTAGACTGAGGGGGGGGGAACTGTGGAGAAAGGTTTGCAACCCCACAGCCCCAATCTGACATGTCTACATATATGGTTGTCAAAAGTGGGGCATTTTGATCCATATCTTGTTTAGTTGCTTCCTAAATGAACGCAGTATTATGAGAGGATTATTCCACCAGACCAAAAATGCTGAATGACACAAAAGAACTGGGTGTTTTAGAAAACCATGATGCAGGAGAAAAACTTGCGCATCATATCAGCATTCTGTGAATACGAAACTAACATGAAACTGCGGCAATCTCACATGAGGCCAGTTTGATTAATGCTTTCTCTTTCATGAAAACTAGAGCTAGAAATTGTCGCTAATAATATGTTTTTTAATCCAACCACAAAGCAGGAGTTAAACAAATGCATAGATTGTGTTACACTAGAAAAATGGAAATGCAAACATGCTGTGTTGGAGGAAATTGTTTGAGTGTTCAGTTCTCACCTTTTGGTCCCATGTGTTCAGACATCCAGAACTGAGCAGAATGCTTAAGGTTATTATAAACCTTTCTGCTTCTGAGAAACTTCAATGACCTACAAATGTATACAATGACCTACAGATGTTTAGAGGAAGCCACTGTCTCAAACAGCTAGGTGCTGGAGATGTAACACTGGAAATGCCTTGTTGAGACACATGACAAAGGCATGTGCAGTAATATATTCTTTTTAGTCTCACATTGTTGACACATCAATTTTATACTGGTAAAACCCTTGATATTTGCAGGTGTTCATGTATTTTAAAACTATATTCCAAAGGGGAATAAAGTCTGGACAACAAAAGTGGACTTTGTGGGCTATTATGGTGGCTAAGAGATTTATATATATATATATATTTTGCTACAAGGAGAAATACCCACTATCTATTACACAATGTTCTAATGAACTCACTGCCCTGGCTGCATCCAACATATTTCACATATATGTCAATTCTGCATGGATACCTATTTTGGTATCTGGCAGGCTTATATTAATTTATATGATTCATTTAAGATTCCTGAATTTAGGATCCCTGTATCTGCAATGTGAATTGATCATTGTTTACTGCTATTAGTAGTATTAACTATATATTGTCTTTCTTTTCTTTTCTTTTCTTTTCCTATCTTTCTTTCTTTCTTTTCTTTCTTTCTTTCTTTCTTCTTTTAATTTCATTTCCCCCTTTCTCTTCTTCTACTTTACTTGTTAAATTTACAAAGAAGAAATATTTTTTAAAAATCATTCAAATAAGAGGCAGCTTTTGGAGTATTCCAATCACCACCAGTCTTTCAACAGTATTTATTTTATGTAAGCACTGGTGATTGACCACATGTTCCAAAACATTTAAGCAAGCCAACCATGTCACAGACCAGAAAACTGTCACACAAGGCAGTGTGTACAAAGGAAAACAATTATTTGCATCAGCCTTCAGCTATTGCAATATATTTCCAGAGTACATCAAACATAAAAATGCAACTGAACACATAAAATTGCCAGATACAAAAATTATCCAAGTTGAGATTCAGAGATCACCATAGTGGCCTTTAATGCCAGCTGTTAGAAATTTTGCAGCCTATGAATTTCCAAACAGTTTCCAAACTGTGTAGAATAGCTGTTGGGAAAGACTTGGTAAATAGCCTTGAGATCTGCCATTCTCACTGAGTCCAGTATCGCATCTTGGCCACACCTACTTTGATATGCATAACCCATAAAAGAGGATAGGTATAATTCAACACATTCCGTTAGATCAAAAATAACGATGGAGAGAAAGAAGTGTGGGACAGTAGCCAGGATAAAAACATTGCACAATATTTATCCAAATTACTATTTATATCCATTCAGAGATAATGTGAAAAATTCAATTCACTTTTGTCTTCATATTGGGCAAGACTCCAGCAAATATAGAAAACCGCTTCCTCCCCACCCCATCTAGCCCAGCATTGTCCACTCTGAGTGGTAGAAGCCTTCCATCACATGTTACATGGTCTTTTAAACTCATGTAGAACCTGGAATCTTCTGCATGCAAAACAGATGTTCTACCTATGGTCCTTCCACCAACATGGAAAGATTAGTGCACATTTTTTGATTTATGAAATACTGACTTACTCTCCCCGGCAGCCTCTGGCTCAGTGGTGGCGAACCTATGGCACGTGTGCCAGAGAGGGCACTCAGAGCCCTCTCTGTGGGCATGTGTGCCGTCACCCCAGCAGAGCCATAGCTTCCGTGCTGGGGGTGGAGGAGGAGTGGCGGGCTCGCGCGTACCGTCCAAAGCCTGCGGCACCAGGGCTTGGCGAGCATCGAGGGGCTGAGCAGGCATTGACTTTTGATGCACCAGGGCCTCCTGCCAGTCTGATTTTCCTACTCGGGAGAAAGCTGTCTTGAGTTCAACAGGGCTTAACTCCCAGGTCAGTAAGCATATAAAGATGGCAACCTAAGAAGGGGCTGCTGGGTTTACATGTTCGCTGGGCTTTCCCGCAGAAGCCAACAGAGAAATTCATTCCATGGAGGCTGCGATCAAACAGCAGCCAAAGAAATGGCTAATAATAATAATAAATATTATTATTATTTATACCCTGCCCATCTTGTTGGGTTTTATTTTACATGCAGACTATCATTATTATCTCATATTAAAAATTGGGAGAGGGTGGCTCTTAGTACAGCCCTCCAGTGTACACTAGTGACCAGAATTGTGGAACCTCCGGGGGAAAATTTATTTCAGAGGTTTGATGGCTCATAACACCACTTTGTTTTGGAGTAATACCAGTGCTATTTTTCTGTGGGGACACAGGGGGACGCATACCCCTAAACATTTTGTGAATTTAACAGGAGAAAAAATTCATTGTATTTATTTTTCCCGATTTTAACTGTATTTATTTTTCTCTGGTGGTGATTTTCTTGAGTCAAAATGAGAGTACCCCTAGACATTTTGTTTAGAAAAAAAGCACTGAGTTATACCATAAAATTATATATCAATGAAAAGATAATTTAATGAAGGATTATTTATTACAATAGCAGTCATAAAGAAGAAACGTGAAACACAGAGAAAAATTAAGATATACAGGTTAAATTGCCATGTTAGCACTTTGCGATAAATACGGTAAGTGGGTTTTGGGTTGCAGTTTGGGCACTCGGTCTCTAAAAGGTTCGCTATCACTGCTCTGGCCCATAGTTTTTCAAAGCCCTGGGAATGGATCATGGCCAAACATACTTTTAAGACTATGAATAGAATTTAGGTATTGTTTATAACTATCTTATTTTAAAACGTTGGGACAAAAAATAGAAAATGCTAGTGCAGTTGTATATGAAAAAGAAACCCAGTCATTATAGCAATCAAGATTCCATATTTGCTGATTAACAGCACATATTTTAAATCTTAAAATATCAAATCTTAAAATCCAGTCTGAATGATTGTTAATGCCATTATAACTGCCATTAATAAAGCAAAATGTGCGAGAAAGCTTTCCTATAGACCAGTCGTACATTTGTATAATATCATACTCCGAGACTAAAGGGCTTGTCCATCATGCAGCAGTGTTTAGGCATGCTTAAGACCAGTGAAATCAATAGGTTTAAGTGACAGAAAATTCACATTGAGGCTACAGTATTTATGGCCCATGGCTCTTTCAGAGTTTTATTGACTATATCAATTAGCATCTTGAATTGTAAGTAAAAATATTAGAACTTGTGAAGTGAGGTGAAGGCAGCAGTAGTAACAGCGCTCCTCTTGCCACTATGGTCCGCTTTCCTGGTTTATATGAGTGTGCAGACCAAATCCCTTTTCCACCCATGTAGTTTGCCACCCCTTTTGTTTCTTCATTACACAATAGTCCACCACTGCAAGTATATAAAATACACAATTCCCTCAAGAGACTTTAAAAAGACCACTTTAAGATGGAATATGATAGAGAAGCAGTTTTAATGACACATTCTGAGAGGCAATCCAGTTACCCCAAGTATAATGCTGTATGTGCTGACATCAAGAAAAAGAATCTGGGAAAGAGAGAACATGTGCAATAAGCAAATCAAATCAAATCCATGCTGAAATATTACTGGAATCAACCACCAATATTTTTTTTAAAAAATCAGATTCTACAAATGTAAATTACATTCTACAAATGTAAATTTCCTCCCCCACCCACTGCAGAAAAGGTTAGAACACAGACATTTCATGGAAGAATGGAAGAATTGCCTTACTAAATAAAACTCAGCAGTGACCAGCCAGTGGCCTCTGGAAGCTCACAAGCATGACAGCAAGGTGGTGGTCATCCCTTCTTGGTTGTCGCCAGCATCTACTATGCTAGGTGCATCTGCCTCTAGATATTACAGAGGTCCCACCTAGCTATCGCATCTCAAATCTATTGACAGATGTTGACATACTTATGCAAAAACTGTCTGCAAAGCACAATTATAGTCTCCCATTCACTTCAGGAGCACTTTGTACTCGCCTGTGGCATTTGTTCCAAACATAACATTTGAAAGGATGCCAGTAGGAGTTTCTCCTAGCCGTCCAAAGTACATATTGACAGCAGAACAGTGCTGCTTTCCCAAAGTCCTGTGATTATAATATTATAATTGTCAGTACATTTAGGATTGCAGCTTCTACTGAACTACACTGGAGCAGCTTCTAAGCAAACATACGTAGGATTGTACTGCCTGCACTGTGAGTTTGCGAGGGCCTGGAACAGAGTGTGCATTCTGAGGGGAGGGGGCTTGGAAGATGTGGCTGGGAGGGAGACAGAGTAAGGGGGACTCACAGATAATCAAGCATGCCAGTGGTTTGGGTGGGGGGAGAAGAGGACATGGCTGGAGGGGGGTGGGTCAGATGGAGACTTACAGATTCATGCGTTATGTTGCTTGCCACCTTCCCACCTGTGGTATCATTGGAAGCTGTGCCCAATGGACTGCTGTTGTTGTTACCGAATGCTAGGCTGGTTCATTATAAGACCATGCTGATCCATTATCTTATTGTGAATAAACAGGCTGATCTAGTCTGTATAATTGAGATGGGTGGGGAATGTCCCTAACCTGACATGGTTGTGCCCACCTGACCAGAGGGTTGGGGAGTGGGAGGCATTTGCCACGGTTCATAGATGTTAATGTCCTTTACTAGGAAACCTCTCTGCATAGGAGCTGCACTGCATCTGGTGTGGGGTCATTGTCAAGGCAGGAGTCGGGAGCAGGTTAGCAATAACTCAAAGAGCATATGTGAAGTTAACTGGTGAGCACAGCAACTGTTCCCAGCAGGTCTTGCCCCAATGAGGCAGATGCAAGGAGAGAAGGTCCCCTCTTTCCCTCTGCTCTCTAAGACTCCTTCTCCTTCAGGTCCTTCCCAAGCAATCTAAGGCTCCTTCGACTTGTCTTTCTTTGTCCAGGGAGGAGGGGAGCTGGTCACAGCAAGAGGGGGGCACTCACTGGCTTCTTCAGCAGCCACCGCCAATCTACCTCTTGGCCTACCTCCTCTTCAGCTTCCACTCTAATTCTGACTCTGGATGGCTCTCTGCCACAGCCTCTTCCTGCTCACCAAACCCTGTTACCTCTTCAGCTTTCAGCACCTCCTCCTCCTGGTCTGCTCCCTCTTCTCCCTCTGACCACTCATTATTGTCCCATCACCAATTCCTTGGTCTGAGCCTTCTTCCCTTGGGGGTTCCCCAGCTGGTGCCTCCCACTACTCGTCTGCATTCAGCCAGTCCATGAATACTCTTACCTACCTTTCTGCTCAACAGCCTCCCTTACTGAGCTGGTCTCCAGACTGCCTCCAGTGTGGTTTTGGAAGAACCACCCAGGTCTCTTGTCCTGGGTGACTTCAGTGTGTGTGCTGTGAATGCCACGAGGCCAGCCCAAGATTTCATGGCCTCCATGGCAGCCATGGGACTGTCTCATGCAATATGGTTATCTGGCCAATGCACAGAGCAGGTGTACCCTTGATCTAGTCCTTGCTCTCAGTAGAGAGAGAGGTGGTCTGGATAGAGTGGAGTGCCTTACCATGTTGTTGTGGTGAGACCACTTCCAGGTGAAGTTTGGACTTTTGGTGGCAGTCTTACCTTGTAGCAGTGGGGCACCAATTCAGATGGTCCACCCCCAGAGACCAGTGGGACCTTGTAGGTTCCTCAGTGTTGAACAGGGATAGTCTGGTCATAGTGAAAACAGCCCAGAGCAGAACTATGCAGTGCTCAACAATACAGAAAAACACACACATATATATTTAGAAAAGTGCAAAAATTTAAAAGTGTCACGAATAATTTTTGCAGTTGAAATAGGTCATATATTAAACCCATGGGGATTTTAGCTGCATCTCCTTAGCAAACATGAAATAAACAGGATATATTGTTTTACAATTAATCTCTTGTGTTATTTTTGTCTGGTTAATCCTTATTTGCATTGAGATATATATGGGGATTTTACATAGTTGGGGAAAACCTTTACGCTTTTCAGAGATGTGTTTTAAAAATCTGAAATTGATTTGCCTACCAGTTGTGGCAGTTTAAGAGGGAAAAAAACAATTTAATTGGGTTTTCAGAGATTTAAATAATGAAAGGTCATTTTCTCCCTTACAATAAGGACATTTACCTAAAATTTAGGAACTAAAGGAACAAAATACCATGATAAATGAGAAAAGCACCTTTTTATGTTTCCATCATACTGTAATTAACACAGCACAATCTTTCCTTTCTCCTTTCGTACATTTAAATTTACAAGAAGGAAATTATGTAAAAAGATAGAAGGAAGGGGTCTTGGCAATTCTTTTTCTATTTAAAAAAAAACTTTTTATGGGAAGAGGTTGACCTTTTGGTTAATTTGAGTACCATATCCTGCGAAATGAGGAAGGAAGCTGGATGGTATAAATTAGGAGCCAATCAAGGTGATGGGCATTCAGATCTGGCTTTTTGCCTCTTGCAAATTGAGCTGAACCACAAAGGAAATCTGTGAAGGCATGAACTCTCTCAGAGCCTTTACTCTTCTGTCCCTGGTGCTCAACCTCGAGAATGCACAGGGCCATCTCTCCGAAAGCAGCTGTAAGCGTTTTGCAGACATCCTGCCTCACAAGCTCCGAGAGTTGCGGCTCACGTTTTATGAGATTAGAGATTATTTTGTGAGTATGACGATCCTTTCTTCCTCTAGCAGCTTCTATTGCATCCAGAGTTTAGGAAGAGTGGAGGAAAAAGGCTTTGCTTCTTTTTGCATAGCAATTGAAAACACTTAACATAGCTTACTGTGCTATTTGTTTTTCCATGTTTTGATTTTTTTAAAATGTGTTTAAAAGCAGCTTAAAAAAATATTGTTGTATTGTTTTATTATTTTTCTGTTTGCCATCCTGGACACTTTTGGGAAGAAAGGTGAGATAGACATTTAATAAAATAAATACTTGCTGATAAGTACAAGAGATGCATTGCTTGGGACACAAACCACCAAGAAGTTCTCCTGTGCAAGCCCCAACAAAATGAATGGGATTCAGTGAATTTTTTGATGGGTTATGCCTTTCATTTCAAATGCTGTCTAATGAAATTATGTGAACAGTTGTGATTGAAACTGACAAGAAAAACTTTTAAGGCTAACTCATTTTCTGATTTTGGGAAGGGGAGAAAGCTTGTTAGGAACCAAAATGTTTCTGAGGGGATCTGAGTAACATTTATGTTATTCTATTTTACCATGAATGTCCAGATATTTGGAGAAAGTTGATATGCATGTGTGAAGGACAACAATAACAGATGAAATGTACGAATAGCTGAAACTCTATATCCATTGCCCCTTTTTTTAGACATGCATGAGAGAAGGCTGATGATTACATTTAAGTGTATGTTGCTTTCACTGGTGTATTTCTGAGCTTTTAGATAGCCATACATTTGAAATCTGAATTTAATCATTCACAAAAGTTTAGGCATATACAAAGGTTAGGCATATACTATAATGTATATATATCCTGTGCAATTAAAAGCTTGCTGTAACAATATTTGCCATAGCTATTATCTACCAGTGGATGCAGTAGAGAGGGAAGACCCTCAGATAAGAAGTTGCATCAAATCTGAATGCTCACATGTAAAAGAAACTGGGCGATACTAGATGCTCTAAACACTTTGCTGATAAGTGGGGTCAAACTTATCTGAGTCTTCTTCATTGCATACTCTTACAGCAAGCCAGAGATGATGAGCTAGAGATCATGTTGTTAAAAGAGGATCTACTGGAAGATTTCAAGGTGAGATTTCAATTCTCTTCATGCTATTTGGAAATAAGTCTGTGCTGATCTATGGGGTCATGGAAAGATGTTACTTGGCAGAAATAAACTATGAGACCAGTGTTTTAGACATCATGTCAGGCAGGAGGGTCTTTCTTATACCGTAAACCGTCCTGTGATCTTCAGATGAAGAGTTGTATAGAAACAACAACAACAACAATTCACAATAATGTGAATCTGCTAGTGTATGTGTGTTGAGAGCTAGAAGATGCTGTTTTGAAATGCATGTTATTATATGCATTTGTGTTCTAAGTCTGTACTGTTAAAATCCTTGACTGCACCTCATCTCCCTTAACTCCCACTTTCCATTTCCACATACAGTACTTACTTGTGAGGAACTTGTAGGGGAAATTGCAACAGTGCCAACCCTATAACAGTCAGCATTACTGTATAATATTTAGGATGTTAGAAGCCTGACTAAGAAAAGCAGTATTCAGTGTACCTTTGCCTGAAAAAACAGTTCTGAACAAAATATCCCAAGAAGTCATTCCCTTTCAAAAGTGTTGAGGTTACATGGGGCTTTGTTAATGCATAGTATGATCTAATGAATAGACATTAGAAGCCAGAAATATCTACTAGGACTGGCCAAAGCCCAGCATAACTCAGGGGAGTTATTCTCTCACTTATAGCAGCACTTCTTCTGTTGATCTTAAAGAGCAGGGGAGTTCAGTTCTCTTGTCAACTAGGAGTAATCAAGCAATCAGGAGCTAACTGAGGCTTTCTCTGTGTTGTTATATTTTAGGAATAATAGGAGTTTTAATGATGTTATAGTTAATTTACATGTATCAATAACTTTTTTTATTGCCATGCGCTATGATGGAGCAATGGAAAGACATTATAGAAAATTTACTGAAATAAATAAGTTGGCAGTCTATGGAGTCACAATTTTTATTTGTATTATTATTATTATTATTATTATTGCATCAGTTTCCAAGTGTGTCATGCGCGTGTTTGGGGAGGGTTTATCTTGGCTTATCAAGTAGCACAAGGAAACTCTGAAGTAAGAAAACATTGTTTACAGCAACAGACTTGACATATGTGTACATCGTAATCCATGGAACAAAAGTCATAATGAACCATCTTATTTCTGAAATGCCTTATTCTTGCGCTCTTACCATTATTATTGTCTCCTCTTCCTTTAGGGGTACTTGGGCTGTCAGTCAGTGGCAGAAATGATACAGTTTTATCTGGAAGTTGTTTTGCCCAACGTAACCACTGGCAGCGCCATTCAGCGGACTGTAGACTTTCTTGGAGAGAGGCTGCTGGATCTGAGACAGACAATCAAGCGCTGTGTAAGTCGGCCCGTTTCCTTTCCTAGGCCACCTGCCATGCTCCCAATCAAACTGCAGTTTCCTGCCTCTGTGGAACTCTTCAAGAGGAGTGAAATATGGCGTCCAATGGTGCTTAGACCAGTGTTTCCCAACCGGTGTTCCGCGGCACACTAGTGTGCCGCGAGACGTTGCCTGGTGTGCCGCGAGATGTTGCCTGGAGGGAGGCGGGCGAGTCGGGCGGCGAGAGGCAGGGCGGCGGCAGCGAGGAGAGGCCGCCCAGCGCGGGGCTCTCGCCGTCTGCCTGCCTGGCTGCCTGCGTGGCGCTGACGTCACGGGGCTGTAACGTGCCCCACATAGGCACACGCGGGGCGGCGAGCGAGCTCCCTCCCACATCCCATCGCCGCTCGCTTCGGCCGGCCTACTGGGCTGTCGCAGGCGGAAGGCCTGCGCATGCGCGAGGTTTTTGCGCCTTCGGGATTCCCTTCACGCCTTCCTCCTCCCGGGTCCTTGAGAGCGCGGGAAGCGGCAGCGCGAGACCGGCGTTGAGCCTGGTAGGTATTGCGCTTGCCAAGGCAGTCATTTGGGAAATGAAAACTTGCAAAGCAAGCAACCAGTTCAATCTGAAGTACGTGTATGCTTAATATCCTGTATCTGAAACCTGTTCTGCCCCCTCCCCCACACTTGGTGCCATTTTCATCTACACATGCAGCAGAGTAAGTTGACCCAGAATAGTACCAATTCAGATGGCAGATGGGAGAATGACAGTGCTGAATGCTTTCCCATGTAGAACAGTCCCTGCAAATAAAAACCTAGCATATTTGGAAGAGGGATGCTAGCCTAACCATTACCTTCTATGCTGTTACTATTTTTTTATTTTTATTTTACATAAGTAAAAAGTGACCTTTCCCCATCTGGCATGGTGGTGTGCCTCGAGATTTTTTTCATGAAACAAGTGTGCCTTTGCCCAAAAAAGGTTGGGAAACACTGGCTTAGACCCTAGAAACAAACAGCATGTTCATTATGCCAATTTATTGCTCTACAAAATGGGACTACATTCTAAAGTACAATATATTATTTTGAAAGATAAGAGAATAGTTTCTACTTCTATTTGTAAAAAGTGTTGTGGGGTCAGAAAATATAACCCAGAACATGAGTCTCCAGCTGTTTTTTGGACTACAGTTCCCATAATCCCTGAGCACTGGTCCTGCTAGCTAGGGAAGGTGGGAGACTCAAGTTTGGGAAACCCTGTATTAGAGATTTCAAAAATGTAGGCATCGCCAAGGTGCCTTCACCATTTCTTCAGGTGTCAGAGTCAGTGTTACGTATATTTTGGGCTACAAAAAAGATAAAAATGTCTCCTCCCAGGTAATCACAATTTTGTCCCAAGAAAAGCTTAATCCATAATATGTATAAATTATGCAATGTAAGCATACGATGTGCATAACTTTGCTTATTTTGCCAAATTAATTTTGTTTCTGCTATTTAAGCAAATGCAAAAAGTCATTCACAGCACGTCAGATACTAGAAATCCAGCACAGCCTGGCCTCTAGATTTAAAGTTTCACTATGCATGACTTAAAGGTAAAGGTAAAGGTACCCCTGCCCGTACGGGCCAGTCTTGACAGACTCTAGGGTTGTGCGCCCATCTCACTCAAGAGGCCGGGGGCCAGCGCTGTCCGGAGACACTTCCGGGTCACGTGGCCAGCGTGACATCGCTGCTCTGGTGAGCCAGAGCCACACACGGAACGCCGTTTACCTTCCCGCTAGTAAGCGGTCCCTATTTATCTACTTGCACCCGGGGGTGTTTTCGAACTGCTAGGTTGGCAGGCGCTGGGACCGAACAACGGGAGCGCACCCCGCCACGGGGATTCGAACCGCTGACCTTTCGATCGGCAATCCCTAGGCGCTGAGGCTTTTACCCACAGCGCCACCCGCGTCCCATGACTTACTCCGTGCATGACTTACACCGTTTCAAACAGATCTTCACAACCTTCAGGTCTAGAAGCTAAATTAAATTCAAGATTCTTTCTGTACTCAATTCTGCACCCAGTAACAATTTCTGCACACAACTGTAGGGTGCACGTGGTCTTTGATATAACTGTATTCCTTCAGGAATGAGGTTACCTTCTCTATAATGGTGACCTCATAAGCAGATTAATAAAGCACAGAGATAGAGGATTATTATGTATGGGACTGCACAAACTGACTATTTTATCATACAGCCTATGGATAAATATATAAGTTAAGTGCTGATGTCTTCTTTCATAAACCTTACGTAAAATTCTTACCTAATAGCTGCTGCTTCTACAAAGGCACAACTACAGACGACAGAGCTATTCAGTGCCACATCCTAACATTACTTTGCTGTGGTGTCCTCACTGTGTCATCTGGTCACAGTATGACTCAGAAAACAAGCATGCAAGGCCACAAGGAAACCCTCTGTGCTTAGCAGAGTTGCAAGAGGAAACTCTCCTCTCAAAGCTCTTTTCTAGGACTAAGGGGTATTCATGAACTTACTCATCAGAGTTGGGCTGGACCTTTGCCAAGTATAGAGCTGTAAGGAAAGGCATTTGCACTCAAACAAAGCAGAAGTTACCCTCTTCCCTCTCTGATTTTGTGTTCCGTGGTGCTTGGCTTTGGATTGTGGTGCACATCCCCACCAGGCCAAAGATGTATCCAGCTTGTTCCGCATTGCCTGGATGAGCATCACCAGTGGAACACATCTGTATCCCTTGCGTAGACAGCAGCTGATTGCATGGGTGGCTCTTCTTTGCACTGATGGCTCTTCCTTGCTGAATCTGGCCAATGCGCAGTAGAGCTCTTAGGATTTTCAAGGTTAACCAGAAGAAAGCCACTGAATTCACGATTCTTCTGCTTCCTCTTTTCAGCATAGGTTCTTCATCTGTGAAAAGGAGAGCAAAACAATAAGAAACATCAAAGAAACCTATGAAAAGGTAGGTCCCTATATCCCATGGCTAAACACCCTTGTTTAGAGGCTTTGCACAGTACATCAAAGAGCCAAAACAATCAGTGTGTGAGAGTCATGCATCCTCTTGCCACTCTTCTGGATTAATACATACACTGTAGATTGGATCTTTCCAAATAACTCTGTGGCTTGCCTGTTTAAAATCATTTAAAACCTGAGAAGACTAGCACTGTCAAGTGGAAGTTAAGGAGAGGGAGCAAGCTCACTTCATGGTGCAGGGAATGCAACTTTGTACTTGCACCCAGGCTTTTAGGTGTTCTTCTGGGCATGCAATGTACACCCTTGGACAGGCTGCCACTGGCTACAATAAACACACACATAAACCAGTTGTAGGCGGTGCTTAATGTTTTATTTTAACACTCAATCGGCGAAGCTGAAAATGCTGTATTCTACTGTCTGGTGTGAGCATTCAGTTTCAAACAACTTTCTTTCATTTTCTGTATCATCCAAGTAATGTCCAAGTGATGCCTATGCTGTGTACTGTTACAAATGAGGACTTGCTTCCTATTACGTTAAGAATGCTGTTAAAAAGTGTCCTGAAGTCCAAGTTGTAGTTTCAAAGCAGCTTCCTTCTGTGACCTACCGGTATATCCTGCACTGATCCAGTAATGTCTGTAAAGAGGAATTGTGTAGGTTGCTTGATTGAGATAGATTCTTCTTACACTAGCAATTTGTGTTAATTGTCCCAAATGATGCACTTTAAATAACAGTGATTTTTCATCTATTACTCCATTTGTCCAAGTGGCATGTTTACTTAGTCTTTTGTTTCACTGGAGACCCTCTTTTAAAAATGATTATTCTCCTTTGTTCCCTTCTTCGAGCCAGAATGGAATAAAGACAGGGAAATGAAGGCTAGGCTTCACACAATGGTGCAGAGCTGTGTTGTCACAGGGAGGGGCTGGCAGTCTTGCTCTGTCAGCCCATCGCCTTCCCAGTCCTGTTCCCCATGCTTGCCTCTCCTTCTTGCAAAGTATCACTTCAATCCTGGTCAACAGCGTTCAAAATTCTGTCACATGCCAAATCTCCAGAGTAGAATAAAGATGATGGAAAAATGCATGCATATTTATCTTGCAATAACTATTATTCCTTCAGTTTGTAATTAATTATCCCTCCTCTTCCTTTCCAGCTGCAAGGCAAAGGCATCTATAAAGCAATGGGAGAGTTTGACATTTTCATTAACTACATTGAAGAATACCTGGCAATGAAGATGAAAAAATGAAACTTTTCCTCCCACTCAGGACAACTAACTTCTGTAACTGTAACTGGAATATATTTTGCAAAGGTGTTACAAGAAATCAGTATTACACAATACTATATATTTTTAACTTAAACTTATTTATTAACACAGATACCTCAGCTTTTGTCAGTGTTATACATTTTTATAAAGGAAAAGCTATAACGTAATTTATTGACCTGTTTTTGCTTCTCCTTCTCCTTTTTACATAGCGTGTTTTTGTCCTTTTAGTTTTCTCTTAGCTTAGGAATGCTCCAAATTGTAGCATTCAAGGAAATGCTTTTTAGGAAGTGAGAAATTGTGAGAAGTAGACTCTAAATCTTTATTATGTTTGAGTCAGCATTTTGGATTTAAATGTGAGCACCATGATCTAAAGACTTCAAACAGGTTGTTAATTTCAGGAAGGGGACTGTCTGCTGTACAATATTAAGTACATCTGAGCATGTCAGTTTCCATTTCAGGTCTGATGTTAACAACTGATAGTTTGAAAGTACAGCCACCAGGCTGTTAGCTGAAACCCGTCATTGGGAACACATCCCACCAGGGCTTAAAGACCCTCACCAGCTCTTGGTCCACATCCAAGCACAATTCAAAGTGTTGGTGCTTACCTTTAACTCAAGGATAGCTAACCTGTAGCTTTCCAGATGTTTTAGACCTACAGCATGCACAGTAGTCAGAGACAATGGGATTTGGAAGCATTCGGAAGGGTACAGGTTGGCAGCCCCTATTTGCCCATGCACTGGGACCTAAATTTGGAGTATCTCTTCAAGGTGCCCCAACATTTGAGGCAAGATGGGTAACAACTGTAAAGAAAGGTTTCTTGGTTGAGGGCACCCAAGTTACAGAGTTCTCAGCTCAGGGAGTCTAATTCATTGCCTATACTGGTTTTTTTATACTTCCAGAGATTGGGTGATTTATTTTTTTTATCTCAGGTTTTTTCATCACTGATATATTTCCCCCCCTGCTGAATTGCTTTTAATGCTGCCTTTGTTTTGTTTTTAATAATTCATTGTTTTTATTGGACTTTTCACAGTATTTTGATGGCAATGCCCTTTAGAATGTGATATTTTTTTTTAAAGGAAGGATAGGGTGGGGAAGTTTGTAAATAAATAAATAGGTCAAACAAAGAAAACATGCACTGAAATATTTTAAAATTTAATATCATTGTTGTTTGCTTGTGCAAAAATAATACCTGTCTCTGCGAGCACTAGTACTCCTTCTTTGGCCCAAGGAGTCTCCTTCTTTGGAGGTCTTTAAGCAGAGGCTTGACAACCATATGTCAGGAGTGCTCTGATGGTGTTTCCTGCTTGGCAGGGGGTTGGACTCGATGGCCCTTGTGGTCTCTTCCAACTCTATGATTCTATGATTCTATGATTCTATTCTATGACTTCTGGTACATTTTATTGCCTGTGATAGCAATGCATCAAATCACAATATGCTCATGCATTTCTGTGGATCTGGGTTACAGTTGCCTTGACAAATGTGAGACTGTTACTGCCATTGATTTTGCATTTGTTTTTTTTAAACAGGAACTAAATGTTTTTCTTCTGCATCAGAATGATTTTTAACCTCAAAGCAGATGATTAAGCATGTTTGCTTTTTGTTATGTAAGCTTATAAGGAAATGTGAAAGCTCTTGTTTACGTCCAACACACTCTGATGTCATTAGGCACCCCATGATGAACAATAAAAATAAAGTAAAACAAAAAACAAAAAATCTCAGCTCCTGACACTTATTCATTCTTAACTTGCTGTTATATGGAAACGTTAGGAAGAATGAAACTTGGAATAAGAATATGAAAAGGTTGATTTTCCAATCTCATCTTTTGAGTCATTGTTCCTTCTGCTGGGGTTTGCTGGGATGTGATTCACTCAACTGGGCTCTCTGGCATTCCCCTTCTTTTTGCATTGCTATGTTAGCTAAGCCGTCTCCTCCTTGCTGGCTACTCCATCCCACTCAGCACCTTGAGGGTCCTCATGTTTTTCCAGCTGTAATCACCATGGCTTCCTGCAGTGTTGCAACTGCCACTTATGTGAGAGTTCGGTTCTGGTGGTCCACAGAGAAAGGTGGTGCTGACCTTTAAAGCCCTAAACGGCTTCAGTCCTGTATATCTGAAGGAGTGCCTCCACCCCTATCGTCAAGCCCGGACACTGAGGTCCAACGCCGAGGGCCTTCTGGCAGTTCCCTCACTGCGAGAGGTGAGGTTACAGGGAACCAGGCAGAGGGCCTTTTCAGTAGTCATGCCCACCCTGCTGCACACCCTCCCAGCAGGTGTCAAACAGCTAAACAGCTATGTAATTTTAAAAAGATACCTGAAGACAGCCCTGTTCAGAGAAGATTTTAGTGTTTGCTGTTGTGTTGTGTTTTTACTATTTTTTTGTTGGGAGCCACCCAGAGTGGCTGTGGCAACCCAGTCAGATGTGGTTTTTTACACAAAATTGGTGGCAGCGGAAGAATAAAATAGTGGTGTACAGGTCAATAGTCCGTGAAACGACCGGGGGCTCTGTACGAATGCCACAATGGGGTTTACAGGAAACAGGTAACCAGGAAAGCTGTGCAATGCAGACAACTGAAGAGATGGTTTGCAGAATGAAAAGACACACACTAATAACCCTTGGCAACCTTAAAAGTATGGGAAGCACCAAAAAGACAGGCAACATATGCAAACAGTATTAGCAAGAAGAGAAGTCTGAATCACAAGAGTTTATTGTACAAGGGAATCTCTATGTAAATAGTGGTTTATCTTTAAAATAAAGCTCTCCACCCAAACTTCCCTAAGTTTGAAAATAAACTACAATGCAGTGAAAGTTCTTATGCATGAGGAACAACAGCATCAAAAATAACCCAGAAGAAAGGAAGTATAAAGGTGAGGTATAGGTAACTTATATTATTACTGATAGCGCCTGTTGTGTGTCTGTTTTGGCTATTATTCTGAAACAAAGTTTAAAAAACAATACATAAAAAGAGCATGTTTCTGGCACCTCTTTATCAGCATACAGAAATAGTGCGCAAAGGACACATTTTAAAATGCATTGCTAACAGTTATACATGTGACTCACAGCACCTACATCAAACTAGAAACAGAGTACCAAGTTTTAACTTCCTTGCCTCGCCTTATCATTTGCTTAAATCTGAAACTTGCTCACATGAGGTTTTCTGTTGCATGTTGTTTATTATCATCACATTTTCACATAATTTAAATTTAGTTACAGTGGTACCTCGGGTTACATACACTTCAGGTTACATACGCTTCAGGTTACAGACTCCGCTAACCCAGAAATAGTAACTTGGGTTAAGAACTTTGCTTCAAGATGAGAACAGAAATTGCATGGCGGTGGCACGGCAGCAGCGGGAGGCCCCATTAGCTAAAGTGGTCTTCAGGTTAAGAACAGTTTCAGGTTAAGAACAGACCTCCGGAACGAATTAAGTACATAACCAGAGGTACCACTGTATTTGGTTTCTCTGCTGCCTAAACCGTCCTTCAGATTTAGTTATAACACTGACAGCATGAGCATATTTTCATTATCAGTACTCTAATCAGCCTTTCAGTTAGTGTTAAGGTGAGTGGGATTTCCTGATTTTTAAAAATGCATTAGCAGCGTTCGGGGGGAATTGGCAAAATGACAACTTTTTGTGTCTGGATTTTTACTTCTTGGAATATGGCAACCCTACATTACTATGTATGAAATGGGGAATGAAATTCTACTTTGTTTGTAATGATCTGTCTGCAAAATGAGTCCTGCTTTTACAGGACAAAATGTATCCATTGTTCCTGAACTTTATGGAGGAGTTCACGTCTGGCTTATGGAAAGGGATTGTCTATGGGTTTATGGCCCACCAATCCTGGCTGCAGGTTTCCTTTTGCTAGGGAAATTGCTGGCTAATTACCCAGAATGGGCAGTCCCCAGTGATCTCTCCTCCAAAAAGGAACTCAAATTTGAGTAATGCTGACCCTGGAGCTCCTCACTAGTTGGGAAGATGGAAGGGAGAATAACAAGAACATTGCATTTATTTTCCAGAGATGATTATGTGATCAAAAACTGGAAATAGGTTCAGAAAATATCCCATAGACTCACACATTTGGAAAAACCACAACAACAGAATGAGGAGAAGAATAAAAACCCTACAGATAATCTCCAAGTCCTTGAGACAGATAGCATAGCTGGTGGTAATGTGATGTACTTCCTGTGCCTTTAATACAGAAAAGAGTCACAGGCAGAGACCGCAATATGGGGCCCAGAAGAGGGGATCTATCTATGACAAAAACTACACATAGACAAAATCCAAACTTGCATAATTCTGGAGGCTGTACTTTTCGTGAATAACCCGTGAGCTAGGGTGATATCCAATGTGAATCACTATTACTTTGTCAGAGTTTAGGTTAGCTCTTTCTGGAAGGGCATCCTGGTGAGAAGGATAAAAGTATAGTAGTGTCAGTATTACTCTAAACAGAAAAAAAACATTAATAGATAACACAAACTGTGAATAAAGACAACTGGTAACTAACAGGAATCATGTGGGTGAGTGACCAGCACAAGAACCAGTGGGCTGTTGATGACAAAAGTTGTTGATGGCCCATCGAAGAGGAATCTTGGGCCTGGGCAGACAGAGATGCTATGCTGATGGTATATATGCTTGAGGTGAGAGGGAAAGAGTGTATTTTGCAAGTTGTACTTGGAAGAAGAAGGGAGAACAAAGATGGAGATCCATCTTGGGCAGGTTGGCTGAAGGCTGGCTGGGAGAGATGCCTTGCACAAGCCCTTCTTGAGATGACAATGCTGTAAGATCTCTACTCCCTCCATGCAGACTGAAGGGGTAAATTTGTGAATAAATAATATTTTTTAAAGCTACAACAGTCTCTGCTACATCTTCAATTCTCCAAAGGAGTGTAGACCCTGGATGAGTGCCTGGAACCTCCTGGGAATTTTTCACCACTCGGCAAAGAGTGGTGGTGGAGCCCAACTTTTGTAACAGTATTTTGTTGGTGGTTGGTGGTGTTCAAGAGCATACCAGAAATTTAGGTTTGTTCAATTAAAGTGGATTAAAATGCTCTGTTACAACAAACCCATTCTCTAAAACAACTTTTTATGGTTGGGAAAGAGGTGAGGAAATGCACTGAAAAGTCTATGGTTATTAATAAGAAGACTTCAGCCTTTGCACAGCAAGGCAATTTACAAACATAATAAAAACAATTAAAATGTTTTTAAATGTTTTTAAAAACAGTACAAAACAGCAATGCAAAATGAATTCCCAAAGCAGAGACCTTTTCATCCAGCTGGAAATGCTTATTGAAATTGAAATGTTTCCAGTTGTTTCCAGAAAGGGCAGATAGTGGGCATTGTGAACAGGAACAGTGTTCCAAGGAACAGGGAAAGCCACACTGAAAAGCCCTGCTCCACGTAGAGCTTCTGATATAACCACCACACACGCAAATCAAGATGAATTCAGGATGAAAGTTCATTGTGGTATAACCACCCCTCAAACAAACCAGAATGAATGCTCATTAAATACCAGACATACTCTAATCTCTGTGCAAGCAGGATAAATGCTCAATAAACAGTTCATCTGGAGGTGCCCTTTGTCTCACTCACTTAACCACAGAAATGCAATTAGGGACAGTATCATCCCCTGTACTGGATATTTTCTTCCTGATACATCAAGGAACACACGTGTTAATCATCTCTTTGTCACATCCTTGTTGACAAATCCTGGAAATATCTGGGGACCAAAAGATGGAGATGGAGCATAAGAATGTTGTTGGGTAGGTGGCAACTTCTTCAAATGAATACGAAAGATTAAAGGAAAGTCACGTTCACTTGTTTGGGGAGAAAAGGGGGAAGGTGCTGTCCTGATTTCAGTAGCTCTTCCATTTGTGCAATGTTAAAAAAAGAGGAGAGATGATCCTGCCCTGCCCCACTCTGCTTTCAGGCCAAAAGAGCAAAGAATGGGGGGAAGTTGGAGAGCTGCCACTAACACAACACCATGGAAAAACATTGCAAGGTAGGCTGCTCTCAGACCTGCTCCTCAGCCTTCTAATCAATCCACCAGTCATGAATGGGAGCTAGGATTAGTTGGCCTACTCCTCCTCTGGGTGAACATGCTCCATCTCTGAAACCACAGCAGCAGAAGACATAGTGTGCTCTTGTGGGCACACTTTCCCTAGCGTGAATGGTGCTTCCTATCCCTCTACAGCAGACATGACTAACCTGTGGCCCTCTAGATATTTTTGGATTCTAACACCCAAGAGCTCTAGCCAGCATGGCCATTAATCAGGGTTGGTGGGACTTGTAGTCTGGCAACATCTGGAGGACAAAGATTAGCCACCTCTACCATCCAGGAGAGGGCACCTCCAGACATTCTTTTTGTGTGTGTGTGCATTCATGATTATATGTGTTCTTGTTGCTATCGGGACAGCCATACACAATCACATTTTCAATATTTTTAAAATGTCGTAGACTCTCCTTCATTGGAGGTTTTCAAGCAGAAGCTGGATGGTCAACTGTCATGGGTGCTTTAGTTGTGATTCCTTCATTGAAAGGGGTTGGACTAGATGACCATTGTGGTCCCTTCCAACTCTACAATTCTATTACAGTGGTACCTCAGGTTAAGAACTTAATTCGTTCTGGAGGTCTGTTTTTAACCTAAGACTGTTCTTAACCTGAAGCACCACTTTAG